GCTACAGTACAGACGTTTGCTAGGCAACAGAACGTGATTGCACCTTTCTTACCAGGTGTTCATGTAAATTTGCATAGGCCTATTGTTAGCTAACCAGCTGAGTGTATTCCTTTGTGAAAATGAGTACCGCGGGCCGCCGCGTACTCATTTTCACAAAGCATTTGTATCCCCTCTTGAAAAGAGGGAACTTCGTAATAGTTGTCACCATATCTTCGCTCATTATTCCCCGTAATTTAGCTTACATTTATGCATGGAGGGAGCACTTAAAATGTACAATAATCATTTTACTACCCGACAAACCCCGAACTTTATTTATGCATTACATAAATAGTTTCATCTTGCTGTACTCCAACATCACTGGCGCATGGTAACAACCAACTGGCAGACATTTCCAGTCACACATTACTCTCCATAACGCAACACCCCTTGTTCCGTGTCATCTGGATTAAGAAACTAAAATGATATAACTATTTTAAGCTACTACTGTATAATCATTTACTGCACTAATACAGTATTGATATAAAGAAATTAATCTAATTTTGCAGTAGAATACATTGGGGAGTTTAATTAGATATGATGTCAAAAAGCAGATGCAGTTACATACACTAACATACATTATAGGTACATTAGTAGTAAAAATAAATAATTTATATTGATGAACTTTACAGTACTAGAAAACTTTTTGTTATAAATATTAATATACAATGTGTATACAGCTTCATTGGTCACAATATGAGTTGTGATAACTAAACATGCTATTATGCCAATATACCATACTCTCTTAATGTAAAAAAGTGTATTTTCACTCGAAAAGAGTAACTTCAGGGACCAGTCCAATCTAACTCTTTCTCGAGTGAAAATTCACTCTTAAATGATTGAATATTATTTTTAAAATAGTGAAAAATTACTAAAATTCACTCTGAATAGAGAGAAATCTAACTTTCTTTTCCACTCCATCATTCACTTTGTTGTCTAAATCTCCAATGGCCACAAATTTAATTCTGACCACTTCACCTTCTTTAGAGCTCCACCTCGGACAATATACTACTTAAGGATGTTGAACTTGGAATTAGGTGGGGAGGGAGGGGGGTAGGTAGGATATTAGAAACGTAACCTAGATTAGAGATAGATGGACCAGGCCTCGCAGAATTTTGAAATTTTCTTTTTTTTTTTTTTTAGCATTTTTGAAATGTAATTGCCATTATTGCAAATAACATTTTCCAAATTTCAATTACATTACAATTACAATTTACATTTTGTTAAACCAATTACAAATTATGTCCAATTACATTTGAAAATGTAATGATTACAATTACAAATTACAATTACTCCATGCCTGAATCAAACTAGCTAGGCCTGCATTTTTATTTGTACACTTATTATATACTGGCAACAAGAATTTATTTAGATAGATCTCAATTGAATAATTATTAGTACCAAATATTAAGCAATCAACAACAATTAAAAATTTCAACTCTGTATAACATACATGAATTTTATCGTTTAAATTAATTAGTGGTAAATTACAAATAGGCCTTTTAAATTTTCTGTTTGGTAGCCTAGATACCTTTTTCATATATTACTATTATTACTTGAATACTGTAAAATAATGTAACTGAAATCAATTTTTTAAGATAAAATAGCATCAAAACATTAAGTGATTGCATCAGCTTAATAATTTATCCCCTATGTCCTGCAGTACACTCAAACAAATTAGACTAGTTTGTTAACAATGTCAGCCCTGCACCAAGCAGCCTACACTTACAGCGTGTATTCGCTGGCATTAAGTAATTTTAACATCGTTATTGCTATTTTCATGTACTCTAGAATTACATATTAAAATAGATGACGATAATCTAGACATAATATACTTCGCAGTGATATTATATTGCTAGCAGTTTACTATCATTAAAATGATCAAACTTACATGTTCAGTGCACTCGTTACAAAGATCTTGTCGGGGTGAATGACACGCCTCACTGATTCCTATATCTCACAATACAAAATACAACTTGTATATTGGAAGTTTTTCTTTAGGTCAAAAGTGACGGAGGGAAAAAATTGACCAATCATTGTGAATTTTTTAACAAAGAACGTATGAATTTGTAAGAGCCAAAAACAGCACCTAACATAACAGATTAATTCTTGCTTTCTAGCGCGTATCATTCAATGTTTTCTGAGCGAGTTCAGCGCGTGATGTAGGCTACGTAGTGAAACGGCGAACGCTTGCATTCATTTCACTGTAACATGTGAATTTTGAGGGAAGCAAAATTATAATTGCAAACCTAATTATATTTACATGATGAGAATCTTCTAATCATAGTTTTCCATTCATATATTTCATGAAGGAAAAAGAGCAATAGAAAGGGTCTAACTTATCAAACAAAAAGCAGGCACACCCCAGTCTTCGCATCAGTCGCCGGAGAAAAATAATTACGCTGAAACAAGCGCATGTATAGAATACAGTCAATGGTGTTTGGAAGGCTTGATTCTATTGGTTTCCAAAAGTGACAGGGCTAAATATTGACTAATCACAACCATTTTTACAACAAGTATGGTAGAAAGAATAAAGATCAATTTACAGAGAGAAAGAAACCGATTGGTCAAATACTTTGCGAGTTATTCTGATTAGAATTTGGTGAATTAACATAAGCCACGAAAGGTAAAAAATCTGCTTTCTACGCTGGAAATCCAATGTAGTTGCCTACTTTTAATCGAAAAGCGACAGGATAAAAAATAAATCTATCTCGTTTCATTTCATCTCATTAGAAAGATGAAAGATAGATCTTTTATTTTAAAAAAGGAGGAAATTGATCTGATGAGCAGTTCCAAAGTTATGGTAGAAAATGCGTTAAAAAGGGTGTTTTCAGGGTTTTTTTTAGAGCAGTTTTATCAATTTATGCCAGCGCGCTACTAAAGAGCGCGTACAAATACATATGAGGTCAAAATCTGTAGTTAGTTTTTCCATTTTAGACAAGTGAATCGGTTGAGTGGTTCTTGTTCTATGAATAATTAACCACGCCGAAGTGGCCTTGATTCTGTCACAACTTAGGTTTTTACACGGCAAATACAACAAACCAAGCAATTTTAAACTTAAAAGTAATGGAACTTCAATGTACTTTAAAAAATGTGATTTAAAGTACATTAGAAGAGTATTAATTCAGCTGCAATAAACTGTTTTAGACAAATTGATCCAATTATTTGATCAAAAGATATTGCTAAAAAACCACCAAAAGTCATCTTTTTTGGACTATTTTGGTATATATAACCGGAAATCTCTGTGCACTGCTGAAGTTGTGCCTACGAATTGATATGTCAATGTCTTTTATAAACTAAAAAATACGCTTTAGATACCACAGTCAGAAATATTATAACTGTACTGTTGGCGCAGTGAATATCTCTTGTATAAAATTTTATTCCAAGTAACGAAAAGGTAATATTATAATTTTCAGGATCACAGAGGCACTAGTGCTTGCTAATGAACATTATCAAATAACAGGCAAAGGAAGGTAAGATAATGCAAGTTACGTTAATTCAGCACAAAGTTTGCAATAAATCATTGTGAAATGGTGTAACAATTAGGGAAGAGATGATGAAGTGATGGTGACGGTGGTGGCAATGGTATAATAGTAATAAACTCTACTGGTAATATATTATTAGTTGTGGTGGTGATGCAGTGTAGAAATAACACATGCTAACCAAATAATTATGATAAAATAATGTTTTTAGCACATACATAAGAATCGTAATTTATTTAAACAATAGAGATATGTGTGAACAGTTTGGTGCAGTGTTACATCAGCCAACTAAATTTGGTCGAAGAAAAAGAAAGATTAAAAAAATAAGCATTGAAAATCCCTAAATTATTGGAGTTACTGCCTGACCCCCTCTAAGAGGGGGTCAGGTCTAACCAGCCACTTAAGCTCTCGTCGGGGAAATCAGTTTTCCAGTTGGAGACATCGTACCCCTCCCTCTCCCACTGTCTAGCAAATCCTGATGCCACCACTAAGACGGATACTGGTGACATGGGTAAATAGAAGTTGATGGACAGATTTATAATGAATTTGGTGTGGTGCTGGGAATATTGCCCTGAACAATAAGAGGGAAAACACACTTCGCTTTTTTTACTTTACATTTCAAATATTTTCTACTATTTTAGTAAAAAGTTAAAAATGTCTGAGGCTATAGATGATATGGTGGCCTATACCAATCTGACAGATAATATTCTGTATGAGTTGTTGGACTCAACTGATATAAAGTTAGCGAAATCTCGTCGCATCATTACCAACGTACTGGAAAGGAAGAATTTATATAGATACATTGGTAAATTAAGTCGTAAGGATGGTAAACCAATTAATGCTGTAAGTACTAATCATCAGAACATGCTTAAGGCACATCATAAAATGTTTTTTAGGTGTTGTGATACTTAATTGTAATGTAATCAATTGTTAATATATTGATGATAATAATAGTAATATTTATAAAATGTTTATTGACGTAAATAGTATTTTAACAATGATTTCATAGATTTACTTTTTAACGATTTTCTGGTAGCTTTCTAGGTTTTTGTTTTTGTTATTCTTTTTGCTTAATTGTGCGGTTAATTGATTTACTGGTCCTAGGTGGAAATCAGGTAACTTTTCGTGGTATTCCTTGTAATCAAGGTCCGTTCCATTGGGCAGTTATTTTAGGACTACTGTATGTTTCTCTAAATAAAAATTATATGCATGTTTAACAAAAAAAAAAAAAAAATTAACTTGTTTGCTAAACTCAAACCTCAAGAGATGGTACAGTAATAACACACAATTCAAGTTGATTAAAAAAAAAAAGGTTTGGTTGTGTAAGTTGCCTCAACGTACCAAATTTGTTTAAATTTTTTTAAAGGACTCTTTGAGAAAAGTGAAGGAAGAAGTAGAAAGAATGAAACTTGACTTGGTTATTGATGTAAGTTAATAGCTGTCATTGTCTATTCCACTCAATATTACAACACTGTTATTCGGAATGTTAAGGTTGTTAATGTAACTTAGCAGTATTGTTTGCCCAACTCACTTTGTCTTTTTGTTAGTTAATTCAAGGTAATGGCAGTATTTAGCCTACAAACATGTACTACTACTACTACTACTACTACTACTAATAATAATAATAATATTTGAGTAATATAAGCATTCATTTTACCAAACCGACGACATTCTATACACTGTAATGACGTACTGTTTACTAAAGTCTGTCTGCCAACAGAATCAGGAAAACCTTAAATACCCAATTAAAAATAAAAAATTGAATAGCTCACTTAAAACAATCAAAACAAATGGAAGTATAGTTTTCACTGATCTGAGACGTTTCTACAAAAAAATCCTTTAATTTTTACCAGCAAAAAAGAATACAGCAAAATATATTCTCATTAAAATTTTAGATTGTGAACATTGTAAATAATACTTTTGTCCGAAGTACTCGTAAATTATTGTCTCCTAGGATTTTCAAAAACAATATATCCTTCGGATATTTATATCTATATGTATGTTAAACCTTGGAAGAAGAATTTCATGTATTTTACGTGACAGTAAAAAAACCTTTAACTTAAGAATCGGTGGATTGCTTAAAACAGTCAAACGAAATTTAATGTGTCTAATATGTCTTCGCATAACCCATAAATCTCTGGCAGCACTAGGAATTTATAATAAAATGTTTGTTAATCATTAATTTTTAAAAGTCTTTAACTCGTTGAAAAATTTGATAACTTACGACGGACGTTGTATTGACTTTGGGTTCGATGGGTCGCATCAGAGTGCTTGACATATAATTTGGGTCGTGGGCTAAAAAGGTTGTGGAACGGGGATTTAAATTATACTCCTGGTCCATAGGGGTGATGACCGTCGACGTTAGGACCTCCCCTACCACCTTAACATGTTAGAGTGCTTTTGAGCTGGCAAAAAATTGTACAGATGTTAGGCAAATAGTCAGCAGCTTTTTTTTCTTTAGGAGTGGGGGTCATTTATGAGAATAATTTCCACTCTAATATTGTCTCTCAAAAGATGGGATGGTGAGAAGACAGAAGACGGTTCCCCAACCAAGTCATTTATACTTACGTTATTTATACAGGAGTTTCCTTCTTTCTGCACCCCCTGCTGCAAATATCTGGTCCCGCCCAAGTACTCACCGCTGCTCACAGCCTCGCAAAAGGCCGCCGAAGGGGGATTTTCGCGAGTAACTTTAAAGGCCATAATTTTCATGGTCAACATATGCAGCCCAACAAAATCTTACAGATGCACAGATAAGGTTACTTGGCCGTTGGAATTCTAATGCATTCACTAATTACATTTGGTCAGCACTTTTAGTTTAATCCTAGTTGATCTGTACTATTGGGTATTTTGCGTTTGTTAGATTGTTATATTAAAATAATATTTGCTGTTTGAATATTTGAATAGTTTATTCAAAAGTTTGTTTAAATTAATTGTTTATGTATTGATTTTTATGTTAAAATTTAGTAATTAATAATTGAATACTGTACATTTATAAAATTGTCTGTTCCATTTTTCCGGGATCAATGCATTATTGTTGCAGCAACATTAGCTATTAATTACATTATTTTAAAAGATATTTTAAATCCCACGTAACATTTTAATAATGCATTATCTTTCATTAAAAAGTGCAAAAATAATGTTGAATCATCTCCGTATTGTTTGCTTTACTGTGAAAGTTAATTCCAAGTCTAGTTTGACGCATGGGCACCAGGGTGCTTTGGTTGGGTGCTTCTTTTAGTAGCACTGCGTTTCTGGCCAATCTTGTGTGCACATTATCGCCAAAAAAAATCTTGCAACTTTTGGAACGTTTTACTGTATAGGCACAAAAAATGGAAGTTTTTTTTTACAAACTTGTTTTGTTTTTGGGGGTTATTTTGAGTGGCGTTACATCTTTTAGTAGCACTGCGCTTCCACCCACTCTTGTGTGCCCATTATCACCAAACCATTTTTTATCCTTCTTTTGGAACATTTTACTGTATGGACACACACACACACACAGAAATTAAATGAGGTTTGGGGCAGATGAATAAAAAACAAGGCAGTTGGTTGACATAGGCTGTAGTGTTGTAACACTACATAAGAATTATTATTTCTAAATATAATATATTTCCATGTAAATCAACAAGAAAAACAATATGTAGAATTCATAAAATTCTAAAAAGGTCTTCCTTAACAAAAATAAATTAAATAAATATATTTACAATTGCGATTTATACATTAAATTTATTTATTTATTAAAAATGAAATTTATGAAAAAAAAGCATTACCTGAAGGAATTTTTTGCTAATATTACAATATTGTTTGTTTTAGGAAATAAAGTTTGATTATGGTATGCCAGGTGAAGACCCTACAGAAGATGTGTGGTTCTATCATAAACAGGCACCAGATAAAGCATTTCAGATTGACAAAGGAGAAGTATGTTATTTTGTTCAAACCTTATTTATTTAGAGACAGTGTATAATTTTAAAATAAAAATGTGTAATGTACTAATTCAAGCTTGAAGCAAGTATGGATAAGGTCTTTCCTGATAGCCATCTCTATCAAGCTATTATTTTGAAGGGTGATCTCAATATAGGCCTGATGAGTAATGCACCTGATATTTGTTTAGACTAGAAAAAAAATCAAAAAAGAGGCCTAGAAATCAAGTTAGGGGAGTGGAAGGTTAGAAGCAGTCAACATAGCCAGATATCCTAATTAATCCGTCCTGGTCACCCTAAGCCCTGTTGACACTTGATTTTTCACCTGGTATACAAATGGCGGCCATTTTTCGAAATGGCCGCCAAATTTATCTAAAATGTGCATATAATTGAAACTAAATAAGCTATAGATATGATGTTGGTGTCTAAAATCATAATTTCTATACAGGAAACAAACGAGACATATAAAAACTACTGTCACTCATGCCAGAATGGAACATAATTCAAAAATAGGTGTTTATTTGTTTTAAAATAACCGCAAAATATACTTAAAATGTGTATAAAATAAGAATAAATATAAACTCACCAAAAAGTAGTCGTGTTTGGTATTGTTGGAAAGCTTTTCCGATGCTGAATAATGTATTGCAGTTTATATATCAGAAACGGTGTAGTGTTTCATGTATTGTCCCATAAAGTCCAATTATGGCATATTATATTAAAATAAACATGACCCATTTGCGTAACTTGTGAGCTCTCAGAGGGTGGGGGGGGGGCGTTCCTACTACTACCGAACACATTACCAAGCCTTAAGTAACGCATGTGCTTTCTGGGTGAGTCCAAATGGGCCCTGGAGAGGCCACTACTTATACTTACAGTAACACTGATACTCAGCACTCTCCTACAATGCCTTAACAATACGTAACATTTTCAAATACAATATTTGGCAGATTTATTAGAAGGGGTTCTTTGAACTATGCCCCTGGATGCCCCACTATGGAGGTTTGACCATGAATTATGCCTGTGTGCTTTCTAGGGAAACGCTAATACTAATTCCTCCATGTCCAAATGAGTCCCGGATAGGCGATGGGCCCCCACTTACTACTACCGTGCAATCTAATAATACAACACTTTTGACAAAATATTTTCTTTTAATTTTGCACAACTACCCACCTTAAAATCCGCTTCCGACTTTAAACATGTCAGTAAATAAAGAATAAAATACATGGTTATCCATCATAGTAGGCCTATTATTAAATATTATACATAGCATGCATCGATTAAAATAATGTATACATTAAAGGCCTACTAATAATTCGGATATTCGGATGATAAATGCCTGCAACATCATCAATTGGACCTTAAAGGACGTTCGGGTCATTTTATTCAGATTGGCCTTATCATGTTTCAGAGCAACATATTTTTTGGTATTAAAGTGACACTTTATTAAAAACAATCAATGAATTTTGTTACTCAAACATCTTTATATTGATATTTTCAAGCCTATTAGATGACCTGAAGAAAAAGTGATCCATAAGTCGTAGGCTTACTGTACAATACAGTATATTATGGCGAATTTTAATAGTGTTACTGTAATAGAGCCTATTATTAAATATTGGAGTGGTACCTTATAAATTTATAACCAGGTAGCAAAGCAGCTTAGTTCAGTTGCCTATAAAACTGGTGGTAGCCTCTGTGTGCACTAAAACGTGGGGATCTCTAGGTCTCCAATTCAAATAAAATCAAATCATTCTTTATTGCATCACTCAAAATGGGTTGAATTTTACAAAAGTAAAGGGCCCAAGCAGAAAAATCTAAACAATCAACATTTAAACATTTTTCAACAAATAGACCCACATCACAATAACAGCAAAAGGAAACAGGTTCAAAGAGCAAAATGGCAACCAATATTAAAATTATTATTATTATTATTATTATTATTATGATTATTATTATTATTATTTTTATTGTAATTATAATTATTGTAGTGAGATTATTATAGTTATTTTAATTACTGACTTAAAAATCAACAAAGCATTCGCCTGTACAGGGAGTCCTATTCAGCCTTTTGGAGGATAAATTCTTTAAGTTTTCTAAGATGGAAATTGGAAGGGGCTTTAGGAAGGAGGTGGTGTATTGAATTCCTATCACTGCTCTTTCTTGTATTTCAGTTGGAGGGCTGAAATGCAAGTTACGATAGCGCATCGTCTTTCAGATGAGACATTTAACCTGTTGGCCCCGTGTGTATTATGGCCTGTGTGCACGTTAAAGAACGCAGTATACTAATTGGAAATGAGTAGGAAATTGTTTCCCGATGTACAGTGGTGTAAAGACTACGCGCTCTTATGCGGTGGTCCGCAGGGCCCCCGTCACCTAGGGCCCCAAAGGTGCCCCAACCCATAGGGTCCTTGCTCGGGCACCCTTACCCAAAAGGGCTTTGTTGATACATAACGGCATAATGTGTCTCTGAGATCAACTGTAAGACATATATCATAGTATATCCCGTGAAGGTTTAATGGGGCCCCTTTAAATTTTCCAATTGTTTTAAAAATGGAAATTATACTCGCATTTTAAATTTATGAGTGCCATTTCCGGCTACTTTGAGGTGCCGTATTTATAAATGATCTTACCTTAGCCCCAACCGTGCTGGGGCTGAGGTGGCATAGGTGTGTGAAAGTCCCTCCCTACCCACATTCCCTCTATTTTGAATACCTAAATCTGCAAATGATATATAATTTAGTTCGTTGTTAAAAGCAATTTAGAACACAATGCCAAATATTAGAAACACAAGCAAATTTAAATTCCCACGATCAAAGTCGTGACCGGATCAAAAAGGGGCCTCCGGTCTCAGAAAGCCACAGGGCCCCGGGCCCATCGTTAGGCCACTGCCGATGTGGTGCCCAATCACCACCAGAAGGACCTCACTGGAAACAAGTATTCTTCTGACTTTTGTGGGTTATCCTTGGTGTTTACACTGAATATGTCCATCCACCCATAAGGGGGACAGATATAGAGAAAGAATTTTGTTTAGAAATGGTGGAGACAACAGACATTAAAAAAATAGGTTGTTTTGGAGTAAGCCTACAGTGATCTCATGCTCCCTTCTTTCTTTCTTCTCTCTTTCTTCTTTATTTTTTGTGGTTGGGATAGACCCGTGTCTCATGGACCCACCCTGAAACGATTGATTGAATGATTGTTTGATAATACTTATTTATATTGGCAAATCTAAGAAAATGCATGTGCATATGCATAGGCCTAATAC